CGGTTCCAGGACAGATCTCTCAAGTGAGGACAGATACGCCCCATGGACCACTACCCTGATCTGCTGACTTGCGTTTCGGAAGACTCCCTCATAGCTCTGATACGCCGCACGCAGAGGGGTCCCCGAGTGGGGAAACGATGGAATCAGCCGACCATGTTTAGCTGCGGGTCACCAAGGTATATACGCATTCATCCACCACCAGTACGTAGAAAAGCGCATCGTCCCCCAAATGGTAGCGGTTCACAAGCTCTGGTAAGTCAAAGCAAACCTAGACCCAGCGAGCAAGGGGTCGACAACATCTTGCACCAGTGATGAGAGAATAGCCTCCCACAAAAGGCGGAACTCAGACGAACTCTGATGCTCTAGTGGAACTGCAGCCTGAGGGAGAACCTAGCCGATGTGCTGGCGAACCTCCCATAAGGCCGAAGAAAAACGAAAAGTTCCCTCAGATTCCTCTGCATTCCCGACCTCCATGGACTCAGCCTCCGAACCCGAGCCAGAGTCGCGATAAACACCCCACCCCCACCCAACCCCGAAGGAGGAGTGACCACAGACCCGGACGAAGTCCGTCCCGAGGAAGCCAGGGGAAAGATAGAACCCGGCAAACTCTCTGCTCCGGTCTCCACGCATGGAACAGAGTTCCGGTCCCGAGATTCCCGAGAGTCCATTGACAGAACAGTGGCTCCTGTGCTCAAGGGTAATGCTCGAGTGGTCGGAGTTACCGGTAACCCGGGTATACTCAACGGTCCACGAGCCAAGATGGACAAGGGACTGGGCGTGAACCCTCCCTCACCATCGGAGCCGAGACAGCCGGACCCAAAGAGGCAAGGGATCAATGTTAGACATATCAAAGGAAGGCTGTGTACTAACGGAAGGCTGATTGGTAACAGCAGGTTGAGAATTAGACACAGGCTTATCCTGCGCACTTTTTGACCTATGTTTGGCCTTTTTTGCATTTGAGGGAGGGGTTACCTCCTGCTTCACAGAGCTCTTTGAAAAAGAGAAAGTTGGCAGCTCTTCGTTTCCAAGCTTTAGGCGTGAAACCCGGACACAGTTCACAGCACCCTGGCCAGCATTCTCCAAACAGCAAAGGCATCATGCCCATCTTGTGGAGGGATATTTTGTCTGCATGCAGATCATGCAGTAAACGCCTGAAAGCAAACATGCAAAGCATGACGCTAATGGCACACAAAATACACTATAACACGCAACAACATACGTGCAGGAGGGACACAAATGAAGCAATTGTTTTAATAAACAAGCTGCAAACACGTACCAACGCCAAATTTCCCATGGAATAGCAAAAAAGGTATGTAAACCACGCAGACAAAAAGCATAAAATACAACAATAAGTCACATAAAACAAGACACAAACAACTGCAAAGTCAATAAAACTTTCTGGCCTTTTCCTAAGTACGAATAAAGACAATATACATACAGTATTTGAAGTCTCAGACATCTTACAATCCAGTCAAATCAGCACATGTGAACACGGTGCGTGACAGCAGAAAGAATGATTCGGGCTTGGTTGCTTACCCGGCTGACCCCGCATGCATGGTGGGAAGGTAACTCTATGAGGTAGGGGGCAGTATAGTAACATTGTTACAACAGTCACATGACATTTTCAGTCGCAGAAAATGCACACATGTACCCCAAGGAAGATCTCTATGAAAATCTATTAGTTTAACATCATTATAGTTTCACTGAATAGTAAAGCTGGTGGTTTGCCACAGAGTTGAGTTTTCTCTTTAAACAGTTTACCATGTCAAGTAAACAGAGAGTTGATGGCATCCCTTCTCAGACTTTTAAGGGCAAGTGCAAGACATGTGGTTCTTTCATATGTGGATCCCTTAAAGCTACTTCCATCTTCTTGACACAGCTGCAGGTAAGTGCTCTGTTATTATTTGAATTTCGCAATTCATGTGCAATTTCTATATATCTAAAATGTTAAGTTAGAGATGTATTGAAAATGATTTCACCCATGAATGATATGGCTAATACCATAAAGTGTTCATTTACACACTGACTTTGATGATGAAAGTTATACATGTTTGTTTGAACATTTTTATTGACAGAGGTAGGACACAAACAGTTCTTCCATCATTTACATGATAATGTACACAACAGACAATAAAGAATACTAAAGTTAGTCAAATAGCTAGATTTTAGTTAGTTCAAAACTTGTCTGAAATAAATTCATGATCAATATTTAGATATAAATAAGACTGCCGTTAACTCAAGCCATGTGAATGGCATGTAACCATCACCATCTGCACATTTGTGAAACAAAGGGAATCAGACCCGCATAACTGAATTTAGGGTAGTATTTGAGGAAATGGGGGAATAACTGTACTATTAGTCAAGTGCCTATCAAAATGGCCTCTTTGTTTATTTTTCATAGGATATGATATTCAAAATATTACTGAACTGTAGTCCTATTGTTATAATCTTGAAATGTAATAAGCCATAAATCTAAGTTGACAAATCCTTTAGAATGTTAATAAATAGCTGGCTATACCTGCGTCGTCAGCCCCAGTTGAGAGGCTGTTCAGTGTTGCAGGGAAGACATTTAGGCCTGACAGATGCAGGTTGAACAGCACAACCTTTGAGACATTGATGATGATCAAGTCCAATGGACATATCCTGATGAAAATCTGTGTCAAAGGTTGTGCTTTTCAGCCTGCTACTTGATTGTGAGCAAAGGTGTGAAAGTTAGCAGGACTTCCGACTAATGACAATGACACATGAAAAAATAAAATCCACAATGAAACCTGTTTTAAGTTTATGTATTAAACAATCCTAATTTTGCATTTCACTTTTTGATGACTACTTAGTTGGTAAACATTAAGAAGTTCCAACAACTCCTCCACGAACTTCGAGAAGAAGAAACCCTCTTCCACCAACAAGACTGTAGTGAACCTAGCAATAGCTCACCTCACAACAAACCAGTGCCCTTGCCAAAGGACTCAAGTTTGCCCCAAAACCACCCAAGATCAACACAGATCTGTTCATCACCAACACTGAGAAGGGGCTGCAACAACTTGCTCCTGGGGGCAAAGTGGAGTACATCCGCCACCAGATCAGCAACATCCTACAGAAGGCACAACCTCAAAAACCCAACCTCACCAAATCCGACAGACTGGCCATCAAGCAACTCAAGCAAGATCCAGACATTGTCATTGTTCCAGCAGACAAGGGTAGGGCCACAGTTGTGTTAGACCAGCCCCAATTCCACTCCATGGTGGACAACATGCTGCAGGACCCAACCACCTACAAGATCAAGAAGGAACCCACCGCAAAACTTCAACGACAACACAAGGCCTGCCTTAAGACACTCTGTGATAACTATGAACTCTCAGTATTGCATCCCCAACCTCCGTATCCCAGAGCAACAGTGAAAATTCACAAGAACCCTGTCAAAACTCGCCTCCTGATCTGTTCCCGTGAAAACTGTCTTCTATAGTACTGCTCAACACCACACCTGAGTGCTTGCCCCATTAAGTAAATCTGCTAAATCATTCATTTTGGACTCTACAGAATTTTACAAGAAACTCTCTGAAATGTCTGACAGATACCTTGTGGAAGGATAAGGATCTAACAAGCAAACAAAGCTCCTGATGGAAGGACAGGCATTTAATACTGAGAGACAGCTTCTGATGGAATGACAAGCATTTAATACTGAGAGACAGCTTCTGATGGAATGACAAGCATTTAATAATGGGAGACAGCTTCTGATGGAAGGACAGGCATTTAATACTGAGAGACAGCTTCTGATGGAAGGACAAGCATTTAATACTGAGAGACACCTTCTGATGGAATGACAAGCATTTAATACTGAGAGACAGCTTCTGATGGAAGGACAAGCATTTAATACTGAGAGACAGCTTCTGATGGAAGGACAAGCATTTAATACTGAGAGACAGCTTCTGATGGAAGGACAAGCATTTAACAATGGGAGACAGCTTCTGATGGAAGGACAAGCATTTAATACTGAGAGACAGCTTCTGATGGATGGACAAGCATTTAATACTGAGAGACAGCTTCTGATGGATGGACAAGCATTTAATAGGAGACAGCTTCTGATGGAAGGACAAGCATTTAATACTGAGAGACAGCTTCTGATGGAAGGACAAGCATTTAATACTGAGAGACAGCTTCTGATGGAATGACAAGCATTTAATACTGAGAGACAGCTTCTGATGGATGGACAAGGATGTAACAAGGAAACAAGGCCCCTGATGGAAGGACAGGCATTTAATACTGAGAGACAGCTTCTGATGGAAGGACAAGCATTTAATACTGAGAGACAGCTTCTGATGGAAGGACAAGCATTTAATACTAAGAGACACCTTCTGATGGAAGGACAAGCATTTAATACTGAGAGACAGCTTCTTATGGAAGGACAAGCATTTAATACTGAGAGACAGCTTCTGATGGAAGGACAAGCATTTAATACTGAGAGACAGCTTCTGATGGAAGGACAAGCATTTAATACTGAGAGACAGCTTCTGATGGAAGGACAAGCATTTAATACTGAGAGACAGCTTCTGATGGAAGGACAAGCATTTAATACTGAGAGACAGCTTCTGATGGATGGACAAGGATGTAACAAGGAAACAAGGCCCCTGATGGAAGCATTTAACAATGGGAGACAGCTTCTGATGGAAGGACAAGCATTTACCAATGGGAGACAGCTTCTGATGGAAGGACACGCATTTAACAATTGGAGACAACTCCTGATGGATGGACAAGGATCTAACAAGGACATAAAGCTCCTGATGGATGGACAAGGATCTATCAATGAGAGACAGCTTCCTGGTGGAAGGACAAGGATTTAACATAGAGAGATAGCTCCTGGTGGAAGAACAAGAATCTAACAAGGTGTCAAGGTATCTTTCTCCCTGATGGAAGGACTAGGCTCTAATCTAGTTTTCTTGAAGACCCTGCTCCTCCAAATAAGAACACAAAGTCCCTTTTACAGTTGATACAGTTCCACCCACCTTCTTGTTTGAGAAGTTGAGGCATGGAATAATGTCCTCCATCATCATCCTGGCAAGAAAGGGCCTAGAGCGATCCATCACAGGGTCTTGTCTCCAGACCAGGAACTGGTCATAACATGCAGTGTCAAACTGAAATCACAAATAAAATTATTTAATAGAAGAATGACTAAATATCTTTATGTATTCTTTCTGAATTTTGGTATCATTAGACTCCCATCTGTGAACAGACTGCATCTATCAGTCAGTATCATGTATTCTAAGACTGCATCTATCAGTCAGTACCATGTATTCTAAGACTGCATCTATCAGTCAGTACCATGTATTCTAAGACTGCATCTATCAGTCAATATCATGTATTCTAAGACTGCATCTATCAGTCAGTATCATGTATTCTAAGACTGCATCTATCAGTCAATATCATGTATTCTAAGACTGCATCTATCAGTCAGTATCATGTATTCTAAGACTGCACAGTATCTATCAGTCAGTATCAGTCAGTATCATGTATTCTAAGACTATGCATCTATCAGTCAGTATCATGTATTCTAAGACTGCATCTATCAGTCAGTATCATGTATTCTAAGACTGCATCTATCAGTCAGTATCATGTATTCTAAGACTGCATCTATCAGTCAGTATCATGTATTCTAAGACTGAATCTATCAGTCAGTATCATGTATTCTAAGATGCTTCGCTGAAAGATCAAAGTACTTTATCAGGCGATATTGACATCACTACGCCATTCTCGTCTGTCCCCTCATAATGAAATGAGTCGGTGGCTCTCTTTAGCATGAAGCAGGGAATTTGATAGCGACGTCCAGAAGGAAGAAGTTTATTTTCGGGATGAAGAAAGTGGTTCAAATCTGTACAAATTTTGTGTGCTAGGTTTCTGACTTGCCGCTGGCCTAACCATGTGATGTCCTCGAAGGTGGTACATGACATTTTTGCCTGCTTGAGTTATTATTTTGGAAAATTTGTTTCTTTGTTTTATTGTGAGAGCCCCCGACCACACTTCAATGGATAAACAAAGAACACTTTGCGTGGATGTGCTAACATTGAACGATCTAAGTTTTCTCAGAAAGTACAGGCGTTGTTGGCACTTAGCATAGATTCTGTCCGTATCCTTGTTCCAGTTCAGCTTATCGTCTATAACAGTTCCCAAATACTTATAGTTTGACACGAGTTCTACATCACAGTCATGAATAGTCACAGGCAGTAAATCTTCCTTCTTAGTCCAAAAGTCTATTATCATTTCTTTTGTCTTTTTAGTCTTTAGAACAAGAAAGTTTTGTTACACGAGTCAGAGAAATTTGATATTCCACGACGGTAACAAGTTTCATCACAGTTGGTGATGAGTCCAGCAAAAGCAGCATCAGCAGCAAATTTAACTAAGAGTGTACCATTTCCTGTACTCCTGCAGTCATTGTTATACAATATGAATAAAACTGGAGATAACACACAACCTTGTGGCGCACCGGTAACGATGGTTTGATGGGCAGATATTGTTCCGTTTACCCTCACACACTGTGTTCTGTTTACCAGAAAGTCTTATATCCACAGAATCGTATTGCGGTGCACATTCATTTCACACAGTTTCTGAATCAGGAGGTGCAGTTGAATCGTGTTGAATGCGGAACTAAACAAACATAACACTAACATATGACTTTGGCGTGTCGGTGTGCGTATATATTGCGTTCAACAGTGTTGTTGTAGCATCCTCTACTCCTCGCCTCGCTTGGTACGCGAATTGGAATGGATCTTGAATGTCTCTGTCATCTTGTAGTAAACGAGACAGCACAATTCTTTCAAAGCATTTCATAATGATGGATGCGAGAGCGACTGGACGATAGTCGTTAGGTTCAAGTGGCTTGGGCAATTTAGGAACCGGGGTGATCTTTGACAGTTTCCATATAGCGGGAATTTCATGATCACTGAACGATCGTTCAAACAACATTCCTTGAGAATCTTACTATTCATGTTATCCGATCCGGGCGATTTCGTGCATTTATCCTCTTGAAGACGATAAGCACTTCCTCTTCTGATATTGGTGTGTGTTCTTCTGTAGTTGGAATAGAATCCATGACGTCATTTAAACACTGGGAAAAGTCAATGTTGACAAAGCGGGAGTAAAATGTATTTAGCTGTTCAGCATTTTTGGCTTCATCAGGAACTTCGATAGTATTTTTACATTTTCCACATCTGGTTATAGTGTGTATGTGTTGCCAAGCACTGCGCATGTCCCCTCGGTGTAGCTTATTCTCCAGTTTAGATTTGAAAGAGTCTTTATTCGCCTTATTTGAATCTTTAAATCCTTCTGTAGGTCACGTAATTTGACTGCATCGTGTTCATAAAAGCTATTTTTTTCATGTTGAGCAGATGTTTTAGATCTTTTGTAACCCACGGCTTGTTGTTCGGGTAAATCTTAATTTCTTTCACAGGTACTATATTGTCCAGACAGAAGGTTATGTAACTGGTAATCACGTCCACGTTGCTATCAATCGTGGCATCATGCTCAAGTAAACTGTCCCAGTTTGTGCAATCAAAGCTCCATTATAGTCACCCAAAATGAATTCCAGAGCATCTGTAGACAGGTTCTCAGTTTCCTGGATGTGATCATATACTTGCCTAGTTGTCGTAGCAGCCGGATAGGGGGATATATATCAACACAATAAACACTTGGCCGAATTCTCTTGGAAGGTAATATGGTCGGAACGACACAGATAGTAATTCCAAATCAAGTGTCATTACAGTCATTCTCATGGTCCAATTATTGCACTAGTTTCGATACACAACATACATACTCCTCCGCCCTGTGATTTTCCGTTTTAATCTTTCTGTCTATCCAACTGTAACGGGGATCTGAACACATCGATATGAAGAACATCATTATCAATATCAGGTGTTAACCATTTCTCTGGTAAACAAATCATACCACTGTCCCCATATTGGTACAGCGGACATTAGCTGTGAGTTCATCGGATTTGTTCTTTAGAGATCGCACATTTGACATCAGTATACTGGGGAGTGGTGGCCGGGATTTACAGGCGCGTACACCATATGTATATGTCCCTTCTTACAAGTTAAAGCCAGTCACTGATGAATATCGAGAGTATGACAAGAGAAAGTCTCTAGTGTCCACAATATCCAGTCTGCCATGTTGGCTTGGGTTTGAGTGAGCACTGAGAATCCAACAATATAATACAGTATGTAATTTGACAGCAAGACTAGGTGAATTAACAAAAATATTTGGTTTGTGTTGAATGAAATGTTCGTTGTAGAATACATCCTCACGTAAACTCACACATACAGGCAACATAAAACACAATAAATTGCAAAAAGTTGTAAACTTGTAACTATTACATAACGCTGAACAAAGGCCAAGTAAAATCGTATTTTCCATGGACATAACAAAACTGTTATTTCGTGTATTGTGCCCTGTCGAAACTATATCGTATTGTTGGAGGTGAAAAAGAACGAGGTGTAAACGAAAATAGACGTATGTACAGGAACCTTGCAATCAAACATCACTAGACATGATAATTCAATTGTTGTTCCTGTTATGCTACCTGTTATTCAACTAAGCCGGAAATAAGCTGTGCACAGATGTTTTGGTCCAATGTACCGGTGATTCAGTTAAAACGATCTGGTAACATAACATCACAGAATTTCTATTCCATTATCAGAATAATTTATATCTTAAGCAGTTATTTTTACAGAGATATCATATATTGCTATCGTATAAGTATAATGCATGTTTTCTCTAACATATTTAACATAATAATTAACATAGGCTAAGCTTTTTGGGTTACCTGGCTGGATACATTTTGCGTAGGAGACAGTTTGACAAGTCACCGCTGACTTCACGCTGACTTTACTTTGATTGTAAACACAAAATGTTGGCAATTAATTGTCAAATATGACTTCAATAAGTCAATAGCGTGGGTCTTGTGGTCCATGGATGACGAGGCTGTAATCTGTTTGCGATTGCTGAGAAAAAAGTGAAATTGGTGCTATCGCGGTAAGAGCAAAAAACGGACCCTCACGAATGTGGTAAGCGGAAGTTGTATGAAATAAGGTAATGCCATTTCACTCACGGTTTCTCCGTTGTTACTGCAAACAGTTTTAATGAATGAAAATGGGATTGCATTTAATCCGCATTTAATGTACCCCGCGCAATAACGCGGTGTGTTGCATCACAGCAAACATTGTAAGTATTCGGCTGATTGCATGTCTTTATGATAAAGTTGTCTTTTATCAGTTATTACGATGTTTCACTGTTCGTCTGATTATTATTGAGAAAACCCTGCATGTTTTCAGCATCTGAAAACCATGGATATGTACGATAAACACTGTTGATTGCAAACCGCACTGAATTTCACTAGTTAACAACGTGATTAACCACAGCTCAACAGCGGATTTGTTGATGTACTGTTTTCGATAATGTGAAGATGTGTGATCCCTGGGCAACATTTTTATTGGAGCCATGGATTACCCCGTGGTTTAACCGAATCCGCGGTATCTCGAAGAATGTTATTTCGAGGGATGACTGTACATCTAGATTCTTAGAATGACCCATATGTTAAGGTAAGGACTATTACTGAAACTGGAATCGCAACCAATTAGTTAAGTAAGGACTATTACGTAACAGAGTTTATATCTCTCAAGCTCTGACTTATCAAGTAAGACAGGTAGGCGTGGACTCTGCTGGTGGTAATGGGTCAGATGCCTAGCGTCTACAAGTCAGCATGATTAGCGTGAGTTTCTCAATGTCTGGCTGGATTCGTTAGCTGTGTGAGCACTACAAGCGGACTGAACTGGTGAATGCCTGATACATCCTCTGTAGCAATATCTTGTAGATAGTGGGTAGCAAACACTGTGTCAGATTTCCACAAGCAGCCTTCGATGATGGATGATAATGAGCAATTCCCATGTAGCACTAATGCTCTAACTTCGTGTGGGTTAGATCTTGGTGGAGCTAGGCCTGCTGCTTTGTAGGCTCTTAATATGACAGCTCTGATCCCGAAAGTAATTGTGGTTCGAGAAACCTCAATAGTCATGGCGGATGATAATGGAAAGAAGAGACGTTTGAACTTTCTCCTTCTCGTAGCAGACCGTTGTAATTAGATTTT